GAGAGAGAGAGAGAGAGAGAGAGAGAGAGAGAAACCTGAAAGTGAATAACTTGGAGAAGGTACTCCTCGTGTGCTTCATACAAATCCCGATCGCTTATCTTTTCTGTCGGTTCGGGGTCGCTCGACAGGTGTGAAATAATGTGTTGTAGTTCGTCGCACTGCAAGCCCTGAGCACATGTGCAAACAAAATTTAATCAATACAGGAAAGTAAGCTGCTCTTTAGAAGCACAGAGTCAAAGAGAACAACAAAATAGAAAGAGAGAACGAAAGAAAGAAAGAACGAAAGAAAGAAAGAAAGAACGAAAGAAAGAAAGAAAGAAAGAAAGAAAAAAGGAAAGACAGAAAAAAAGAAAAGAAATGTGGCACCGCTATCTTATAGTGTGATGCTATTCCTTAGTAGCCTATGTATTTGGACTAAGTGTAGCGACCTACAAAAACCAGGAATAAGTAGCACGGCTAAAAATTGAACCCAGGACAATGTTTTTTAAAGAGAGAGAGAGAGAGAGAGAGAGAGAGAGAGAGAGAGAGAGAGAGAGAGAGAGAAGGAAAGAGAGAGAGAGAGAGAGAGAGAGAGAGAGAGAGAATTTTAGATACTTAGTTTCCAGTCACGTGTCAAAAGCACTGTTACAAAACATGTTTATTCAACATTATTCTTCGTGTATTAAAAGGATTCTAAAAGCATGTCTTAGTCATGTTTTTTGGGGATGTGTGGTCGTTTAACTACCCCCCCCCCCCCCCCCCACATGTCCCTTTCCGACACAAGCACTCAAATAAATTAATCAATCAACAGGTTTTAAAAAACAATTAATGAATGAATAAATGAATGACAAATAAGCAAATGAACGAATGAACAAAGAAAGAAAGAAAGAAAGAAAGAAAGAAAGAAAGAAAGAAAGAAAGAAAGAAAGAAAGAAAGAAAGAAAGAAAGAAAGAAAGAAAGAAAGAAAGAAAGAAAGAAAGAAAGAAATGAAACTTGGCATCTCTGTTGAAGCTGCCAGGCGCTTCGATCGCCGTCGCACGCAGAAGACATGAGTTCGATCCTCGAGTGGGGAGATTTTTCCTAGCGAGCTATACCTCCGCCCGTCTACTGAGACGTCGTATTGCTCTCAGCCCAAGTTGCCTCTGGCAGACAGGTTCGAAGCCGCCTGTCTCTCATGTGGGACATCCATAATTGCAACCCCCCCCCCTCCGCCCCCCCCCCCACCCCCCAATCTATTTCCACACTATAAATAGAAAAGGCTGTAACAAAAACTATAAAAGATATTTTGGGCTAGGATAGTCAACAAAAGCTATGGATTCAGAAAACAAACTCATCTCAGAATTATTATTTTTTTCGATAAACCCTTAGTTTTTCTATGCAGCTAGACACCCAGAGCAGTAAGACGAGATTCCACTCATGCATTTTTATCAAAAGTTGAATCAGTTGGTTTTTTTAAAAAGAATAAATGATTAGTGAATAGGTGATGTGGACTTTGGTTTTTATTTTCAGGCGGGCAAATAGATAGATAGATAGATAGAAAGATAGATAGATAGATAGATAGATAGATAGATAGATAGATAGATAGATAGATAGATAAATAGATAGATAGATAGATAGATAGATAGATAGGGATGAATAATAGTTTTTAATACTAATGTTCTCTTTCTCTTCGCTTCTTGTCTATCCTTTGTTATCTTAAAGTGTCTAGACAATAAATTTTAATCAGTAGTACTATAAATGGACTCTACCTGGAGCACATTCGCCGTTTCAACAGTGCTGTCGCTAAGAGCCATCTGTATGGCAAGCATTTGTATCGTTTTCAAACCTGGTTTCATCAAAGACAAACAGAAACCAAAGAGCTTTTCCTGAACCTTTGACTTTGGCGCTTTTTGTCTGTCGATGAGTGACCTAAGAATGAGATTATGAGTTGATAAAAGTTAACAAATATTAAAGCATTCAATTGTACGTTGAATCTCTGTAGTAAAAGGATACTTGTTGGACATTTTTCTAAACTAATTAAAGCTCAAGACAAACAAACTCTAGTTTACAAACAATAAGAAAGTTTAATCATATTCCTTTACACCATATTTTGAAAGAAGAAATTGGTGATTACATTTTCTCTCATCCCCGTAATTTTATGTATATAATTTTTGTTTTTTTTGTTTTTTTGTTACGGTTTTCCACAGCCCTGATCACAAGATAAGTGGGAAAGGGGACCTAGTCTTCTCCGTTGTAAAGCTCACGTGGACAGCCCTTATGTAACAAACCTCGATGTCCGCCAGCATTCACTCTGGGGCTAAGGATGCAAATTTCATAAATGCATTTGAATTCGAGCTTAATGTAAGTAATTAATCTGGACAGTTAAAATGCCTTTCGTTGCGCTAACTATAACATAAATTGCTCATTTCGTTACAGTCTAGCCAGCATGTTTTGGATTTACCTAAGTCAGAACACTTACAATAGTACCGTATATCTTTTTTATTTTTAAAGCTCTACCAGAGTTATCCTCCTATTAATATTAAGACAACAGTGGAGATGTGTTGTGTCCTAGCACAAAGTGGGTAAAAATTACTCTAAGGCAATGGCCTAGACTCTTACTCTGCTATCCTCAAGACGAAACTGAAGCCGTTTGAAGCCATCTCCCAACCCGCCGTGCCGTACACTGGTCCATCTTTTCCCGAAACACGCCGAGTCCAAGAATTTAGGGAAGCCTCGAGATCAGCAAGTGTCATCTTGGGTAGATTGTCAGACTGCCACTTTTCCATTTGGTCCACGAAGGTACTTCGCCTGTCCTCATCGTCGTGTTTGAAATTGGCAGATTGTAGCAAATGCTCCATTAATTGATCCAGACGGTCTTCTGGGAGAATCAGCGAAATAACATCGTTATTATCATTATGTGTATATATGTAGCACATGGCCTTAGTAGCTCTCTCTCTCTCTCTCTCTCTCTCTCTCTCTCTCTCTCTCTCTCTCTCTCTCTCTCTCTCTCTCTCTCTCTCTCTCTCTCTCTCTCTCTCTCTCTCTCTCTCTCTCTCTCTCCCTCATAAACACAATCATACTCACGCGCATAGCCATATACACACACATGTACACACAAACAAAACAATCACACTCGAATATACGAAGGCACACATCTGTTTACATTACTCAACATACTAAGTTGCCACGTCATTACTCACTATGGTGTTCCCAGGTGTATGGGTACTCTGGCTCATCATCTGGACCAATGACTCTAAACCTTTTTTTAGCCGGCACCCACTTTTGTCACCTTTAATTAAGAGGCTTAACTTTTCATATCACCCACCTACACGTAACTTCAAGTGAGACATACAACAGCACATGTCACTACCTGGGTAATCCCCGCCATTCACCGAGTTTTCCAAATCAACCACTCGTTGGTATGCCTAACCTGTGCTGACTTTGGCTGAAATAGCTGCAGCAACCCGTAGAATCCTTCCCAGTGATCAGATTTTCGGGAACAATGAAAGGGATTATTTCTCCAAAGCACCTTAACAATTTGGCTAGGAACTTACCAAGTATCCAAACCTGGGCCCCATTAACTTATGTAGTGAAAATTCTTGGCCCATTCACCCATAAGATTGTTTTATTTGGGCCCTGAGTGGCCATTCAACTTCCAACATTTCACAGCTCATACCATCCTGATAGATAGTCTGGAAACTGCTTTCTTTACAGCTTTCAATAGAAAAAAATTTAGATAGCATCAATAGTACACGGGGAATATCCTGAAATAAAATTGAACTGACATGATATAGGCTAGATCTACACTTTTAAAACAGATGCCATAACTAATTTTTCAATATTTCAAATCATTTTAAGATGAGCAAAGCTGGTGATGAAATGAGTGCCGAGTCTGTCCAGAGCATAATATTATATTCAAGACGGATTATATGTCAAAGAGAAAAAGGAAATTTAAATAGATTAAAGTTTTTTAAAAGAGCTAAAGACTGGAACATTGAGTGTTTTGTTTTGTTTTGTTCTGTTTTTGTTTATATTTTGTCGGGGGGGGTGGTTCTGGGGTTTGTGTGTGTGTACGTGTGTGTGTGTGTGTGTGTGTGTGTGTGTGTGTGTGTGTGTGTGTGTGTGTGTGTGTGTGTGTGTTTCGTTTTTGTTTGTTTTTTACTTCATTTTCGTTGATGTTTTTGGTTATTTTTTCGCTTTTTTTTGGTTCTCGATTCGATTTTTGATTGGGGGGGTCAGAAAACATTTCTTATACTTTAGGTATGAAAAAGTAACATTCACTATACAACAGATTTTTTTTCATTTTGAGATTTCTCAAAGAATTATCCGCACCTCCTTTTCGTAGTTAAAGTAAGATACATGTTGACTTTAAGTGGATCTTTCAGAACAGCAGAAAAAGAGGCTTATCACGATCCGGGTCGTCATACAACACAGAGAGAGAGAGAGAGAAAGAGAGAGAGAGAGAGAGAGAGAGAGAGAGAGAGAGAGAGAGAGAGTCCTGTGTGAACGTCATAAAAAACGACGTATGCCACTACTGCGTTATTGAAGTCTGGGAATGGCGTAAAAAACATAATAAGAGATAGTGCCAAGTCTTAGTGCTAAGCTTCACCTGCAAACCTAAGGTCATAGACTTACACGTTCTAAAACGCAAATCAGCAGCGACTTTATTAAGAACTCGAGCTTAGCCAGTACACGGGTTTTCCTGGAGTTACAAAAATTAAGCGTCATTCTGAGGCAAACATTTCGAAAATAAGCAAGACGACTCGTTTTCGCTCTTGTTAATCCAGAAGCCTTTGAGCGTGTCCCAGCTCCTCGATGCCATTTTTAATTAAAATGTTAAAGGTCTTTGGAATATTTTGGTTATTTGCATAGCATGTTGTCTGCGGTAGGAACGGAAGAAAGAATTTGCCGTACGACATTCCGTATTTTGGGACATTCGAGAAGAAGATTCTAGACTGTTCCATAGACGGGCCCACACAGCAAGCACATGGGTGATTTTTCTAGTTTGACTATGTTTAAGTGGTAGTTAAGAGGTATGTAC